TTGAAAAAGAGTTATTTCAATCCTCTTATCTTGATTTCTCATACTTCTAGCTGAGAAATTCATGAATCGGGCTCTGATGCATATAGATACAAATGGTCCATTGGGAGCAAGACGAAATTTCTAATTATAAAAAGATTTTATATTTAGTATCAATTTTTTTTCTCTTTATAGTCTTATATTATTTCACTATATAAAATCTAGTCATCTTATTGGAATTATAGTAATAAAAATTAAAAGCTTTTAACATATTTAGATTCTTTTTTACTCTTTCACTTTGGTTCTATTTGTTCAAAAATCTTATTATTATTATTATTATTATTATTATTATTATTATTATTATTATTATTATTATTATTATTATTATTATTACTGCTGCTGCATGGAATTACTTTTTTGAGATCATTATCAAGAGACTCTTTATATAGTACTCTAGCTTGTAATGAATGAATCCTTGGAATATAGAGTGAGTATTAACTACCAAATTATGGAAAGTCAATGATTTTGAAAAAAAAAAATGAAATAAAGAGCTAAAAAAATTGCCAAGTGTGCCAAAATTTTACTGTTTAAATTTCATTATATACAAGATTTATTTATTTAATTAATTCGAGAAATATTTCTGTTGTACGAGACAATATTTAATTAATTTTTAACTATATGATCATTCAAACAAACAATATTAAATTTCAATGCACGTTATCGTCTCGCTTACATGAAGAAAATATTTCTTCCTTACGAAAATTGAATGCACGTAGGATATCAAATATGCTTCCAGAATACAATATAATCTCTTTCAAGGTTATGGCCAAACGAACAAGAATTTAATAAAATTATACAAGAGGCTTTATTTTCTATTCGTGCCGAAGAGTATATAAAGTTTGATTTTGAGATACAAAATGAAAGTTTAAGAGAACGCAAGAATGCGTAAAAGAAGGAAGAGACGGGACTAAAAGAATGTTGGGGATAACAAACATCCGTCTCGTTCGTACTTTGAATACCCATATAACCATCTAAACTTGTTGAAGTGACTAATTCTTGAAAATTACCTCCTTTCCCAATAAGTTAAATTTATTTATAGATATCTTTTACGCTGATGTAAAGTTCTTGACATGTATTTTTGTATTTAATTTTCTTGTCCAATTTCAAAAAGTCATTCTTTTGAAAATCTCCATAACAAATTTCCATCATTTTCAAAATGAATGAGATTTTTGAAAAATCTTTTGTATATGTTCGAAAAAGTATAGGCCATATGCCATTTATCTTGGATTTTCATGAATTTTTAAATAGCTAGTCAAATGACTTTGGAGATGTCACCGTCCCCAATATTCATATAGATAGACGTATTGAGAATACTTACGTAACTAGAGAATTCTATAAAAATATATAAATAAATATATTAAAAGCAAAGTCTATTATGATTTTTCTTCTTGTTACGTATACAAAACAGATCATTGGGACAAAATAGTGTTTGTAACCACTCGTATGACATACTTTTCTCATTAAACCAAATATCTTGATGATTGAAGTGTTGGGTCGATTTCAAGTAATTAGTTTTTGGCTTCCATCCTTCATGACATTTGATGAATCAAGGTCTTTTGTTAAATATTATCATGTCATGATTATTGATCATTCAATCTATTGATATGATAGTAGAGTCACTTTTTTCAAGATCAATCGAATATGTTATATTCAATTCCATCAATTTCAACAAGAGAATGTTAACAATCATAATTCTTGTGATTAAAGTGTCAACCCTTCCTTTTTATCAAACTATCCATTTGCATTCATTTCATTTTATTGAATTTTACTTA